TACCATTTTGGTGATCGATTCTAGTTTATTTTAGTCTTTATATTTTTTAAATATCTATCTTAATCCTATTTTTACAAATTTTGTTCATTTTTAGTCTCTATAATTTTGAAACGTTAGTTTTGGTTATTGTAGACTTTTAAAAAGTGACCATTTTTTGTCCATCGTTTTTTATTCTTATCTCATTTTGTTTCGATCAAAATTTTAGTAGGACACTTTACTCATGAATGTTAAAAAATGTAGTTATAAATTTGTATTAAAAGATTATATTGTGCATAAAATTTATGTTACTTTTTTARAGTCCAAGAGACCCAAAATTACAAAAAGTTTTGAAGGTAAAAGAATTAAAATTAAACAAAATTACAAGTACGGAAATCAAAATAACCGAATTCAAAAGCACACATAACCAAAATAATATTTAAATCAAGATTACTCTATGAAAAATAGCACATAATTAACTTTTCAAATAGGAAAAAGAAACAAAACATTTATCAAACATACTCTATATATATTTCCAATGTCACATAATCCAAATATATATAAAACTAAGAAAAGAAAAACACACCAACCCTATACATTTAGATATTAATTAATAATTTAACACCCAAAACCAATTCCCATATTAGCTAATATAGATTCTTTAAACCTACTAGACTTTATGCCAAATAATTTGAGATCATAAGTAATAGTATATATTGGGAAGGACAATAATTGAGGTGGGCAAAAGTGGGAATAAAGAAGAAAAAGTTTAATAAGGGCATGTGCATAGGGGAAGTGATATGATATTGCTTTCAATTATATATGTGCATATGGGTTTTGAGACAGAAGACCAAAGAAAAGACATGGAAATTTAGAGGGTTTGTGTGTGTTTTTAGTGTTACAAAATGCACATGTTGGAGTTGGACACATACATATATAGAATCAAAAAACATAAACAAATGGGTGTCTCTGTACTTCGTCTCTCCAAGGCTTCACATCCACCCAACACTGTTCAGACCAACATCTTCTCTGGTCGGATTATTTGCCCTAAAATCTCAACACACCCTCATGCCCATCTCTTTAATCCTAACCTTTTTTCTTTCACACTTGAAACTTCCTATTTGATGTAGTTGCCAAAAAAAAAAAAGAAGAAGAAGAAGAAGAAGACTAATTAAATGGTCTTGTTAATGCATAAAACTTATAGAAATCGCATATGTATACGTAGTAAAATTGCGATTAAGTAGTCGAGCGATTGAAATTTGATTGATATAAGATGATAGTATGTACATGTGTTGTTAAGATGGTTTTGAAAAGGAAAAAAAACAAAGTGCCCTTTGGATTATGAAAAGTGATCGATACGTCTAAAAAAGACACTCATATTGTTTTTGAAAATTTTTTTTAAGAAACATTTGAAAGATGATTATTCAAATAATAGACTTTCAAATCTGACACTCTAATAGTTTAATTAGTTGAGAGATGATCACTCAAATTCAAAAAAGAAAAAAAGGATAAATTCTAACTCATAATCTCTTTGTCAGAGACAGTGTCAATTACTGTTGGACTAAGTTTTTGTTGACAGTTAGCATAAATTTATTTATATATATTTAATGAAATATAAGTGTGTGCTAGTATATTAACTAAAATAAACATAATCTCCCAATAATCTAAAATTTTAAAAATGGTTAGTCTATCAACTAAAATCGATCATAATTTTAAATTATCGTAAAAGAAAAAAATGGGGTATTTTTAAATTTTCGTAGTAGAAAGATTGTCGATATTATTTTTATTATTTCGATGAATTATTAACCAATCTTTTAAATCTCTCAGTATGTATGGTTCTATACTCTTTTGTCTCACGATAATGTAACAATATTTATATAAGATCTTTTTAAATTTCCCCTTTTTTCCCTTCTGATAGGATGTTGATTTTCTTCTATCGCTTTCCAATTAATTTTATATATGCAACAATCTTTGGTTTTAGTATTGCTTTTTATTTTAATAATTTGGATTAATTAGTTGTTACATGGAGGATTTTCTAAGATCATAATGAATTGGTGATTAATTAGTTTGATAATTTGAATGGGTGATTATTGATAATTATTTTATTTTATAGGCTACATTTTAAAAATATTTACCAAAATTTAAAGTTGATTGGATAACGATTTTTACTTTTAATTATGTTTTTATTTCCTTAAAATCGTGCTATATACTAAACTACTATTTTTCTTTGTTTACACGTAAAAATGTTTCTAAAAATTTTAGTCCCTAAGTTTCAAGTATTGTAACTTAGTTTTTAAACTTTGCATAAAACACTATTTTAGTCCTTAATGTTAATCTTTTATTAATCATTTAATCAATTTATTTGGAAATTTGATACCTAGCTCTAGTACATGAGTCTTTAAATATTTGTTCGGACATCCATTTCAAGTACATAAATTAAATATTTGTCAATGTCAAGTTTGTGCTAAATCATTTATTAAAAAAAGTTAATGCAATGATTCCAATTAGGGGTGTGATCCTCCAAAATCTTGCATCGATGTAGTATGTACATTCTTGCATCAATGTAGTACTCAGTTATGTACATTCTGAAATTTAAATTATTACTTTAGTTCATGATAATATCGAGTCGAGTTTAGTAAGTTACGTAGATTGTATACCTATATAAAGAGTAGATGTTGTTTGTCATAGAGGAAGCTTAGGAAGCGTTGTCTATCATTTGTGATAATACATACTTGACCGTCAGCATATATTATGCTAGTAACATCCGTGCATCCAGTCAATGTCAAGTCAAATTTTTGTTAAATCAATTAGAAATGAACCATGTCTGACTTTTCTCGACTTCACGACTTCAATCTGTTCGAACTAAGCACATACTCGTGTTTTCAAACGAGAGGATCGCATGACAGACTCTGATTCTACATATATGAGTTGAAATTAAAAATTAAAAAACTATAGTAATCACATTTAACCCATATATTAAAGAAGATGGAGTGGAGGAAGTGTGAGTTGACACGTGGGGGACGAAACCGACGCATCGGTACAAACTACAAAAGTACAAACTTTGTCATAATGGGAGCGGAGAAAGAAAACGATAGCTTTTTATAATATAAAACACATTAAAATATTCTTTTAGTCTACTTTTAAATTATTTTATTCTATCTATTTTAAAACTTTAATTTATTTCATTTTAAAAGATATTACTTTACTTTTTTACTTATAAAATTTTAACACAAATTCTGTGATAAGAAAATTTAAATTAAAAAATAAAATTAAAGGATAAAAAAGCTAAACATCGTGAAACTACAAGTACTAAAACGAATTAAAGTTGAAAGTACAGATATCAAAATGAATATTTTCAGAAATACAGAAATGAAGTTACTTGATGATGCAGTGACAAGGATATGTAGCTTGTGGTATCACCTACGATGAAATCTTGTGTTCGAACCTTTACTGTTCACAGTGTTATTTAGCTGTTCATAATTCATAGCAAATACGTGTAATAAAACAATCATAAAAAATATTAAGAAATATTTATATTAGGAGAGGTAGACGTGGGTATTTGCATGTAAGTGAAACGTGGCAGCTTAAATGACGATGAATCTGCCTTCCTTTGCCACTTCTTCTCTCACTCCTCCACCTACTTCTTCTCTACACTTCTTTTATTCTCTCTCTCTCTCTCTTCTTTTTAATTTCTTTTTATTATGTTATTTTCTATACATTTATCCAACTTTTTCTTTTGTCACGTTCTAGGCTTTCAAAATTAAAAAATGTAGAGTCAACATTTATTTTCTTACATTGATGTTTTTTTTTTAATTCTTCTTACGCGTGTTTATCTTTTGATTCTTTATTCTAACTTTTCTTCATTTGCGTTCAATTATTTAAGATATAGTAAAAAAAAAAAGTATTTACTATAAATATCAGATGTTTAACTAAAAAAAAAAGAATGAAAAAAAAGTGCAATCTCCAAAAAAATTCCATCTTTTGCTCGCATATCTAAATGGCGTGTTTCCTTTTCCGCTGATTTGAAACCATTTACTTTTACTTAACCATAACGTTTTAAATATTAACATTTTATCAATGTATTCCGATACTTCCTTGGAATGAAGTCAATATTCTCTAATGAAGTCATTTTGAAAAAAAAAAAGAAAAATGTATTAACTATTTTTTACGGTCAAGATGAGCGTAACGCAAAGGTTAAGACATTATTCTTTCATTCCTTAAATTTTCGTCGACATGTCAATAGACATTTCAATGAGTTCGACATCAATATGAGAATTGAATCGATATTCTCATGTTACATGAAAATTTGATAAAATATTAATAAAGTATTCACTAACATTGATATAATATTATGTAAAAAATTTGTAACTTATTAAAAAAAAAAGTAGAAAAATTATTTATTAATTTAAATATTTATTATGAATCATTAATTTTATAATTTTTTACCAAGGAAAATATTTGGCTGAGAAAATATTATCTTTACCCATAAAATGTTTGAAAAACAGAGACTTCTTATAAAAATTAAGTTTTCAAGTGTGGAGAACAAGATTTTATGACATTTTATCGATTTATAATATTTCTATAAAATTTGAGATATTCGAAATTTTAATGGATAATTAAAACTTTGATTTGTGACAGATCTCAAATCAAATGAGAAGAATCCGGTACTTAATGAAGCGGGTATTAGGTGCCACCTCCAATCACTCATTTTCCGTACCATCACGTGAAATTTGGGGGACATATTTGGAAATTAGGGTTTAAAATTTGAAATCCGGGTTTCGTGTAATATCATTTCAAAAACAGGGCCATTATTGGAATTCCAAACAAACTTCCAGCCTGTCACCATTCATGTACAGTCTGTCAACCTCCTGCACAATTATACCAAAATTATTATTATTTTTTATTCTTTAAAATAACATCCAATAAAACGACAAAAATCCTACGTGGCACTGTCATTCAAATGTCGAGGCAGCCTCCGCTGCTTTATATACGACTCCACATTTCTCGTCCCTCACCGACTCGCTCTCTTCTCCTCTTCTCTGACTCACTGAGTTCACTCGACTCGGAACCACCGGAAAAAAGAAAAAATGGGTATTTGCATATCGTCGGATTCTACGAATGTTGCTACGGCGAAACTGATTCTGACCGACGGAACATTGCTGGAATACTCGTACCCAGTTAAGGTCTCTTACGTGTTGCAGAAAGATCCGGCGAGTTTTATCTGCAACTCCGACGAGATGGATTTCGACGACGTCGTTTCCGCCATTGACGACGGCGACGAGCTCCAACTCGGCCAGCTCTACTTCGCCTTGCCGCTGGACAGGCTCAACCAGCCGCTGCACGCCGAGGAGATGGCCGCATTGGCCGTCAAGGCCAGCGCCGCCCTCATGAAGGCCGGCGGCGAAAAATGTGGGTCGCGCCGGACTGCGATCTCGCCGGCGCTGTTTTCCGACGAGGAGTTCGGGAAAGTTCAGCGAAGTGTTGCGAAGAAAGGGAGTGGTAGAAGAAGGAAATTTACGGCGAAGCTGAGTGCAATTCCGGAATAATGAAGTTTTTTTAGGGCTAAAATTGTAAATATGGTATGTTTTGGGTTGCTTCTGTGGATGTTTCGTTTCCGCATCCCATGGCAATGGCAATGGAGATTCTTTGTTGTCCAGATTTACGTATTTACCCCTGGCGTGTAAAAAGTTATAAAAAGATTGAAAAAAAGGGTAAATTTTGAATTATTTAATGCGCGTTGCAGTTGCACCAAGGAATTCTATGGGAATTAATTCTTAAAAATAACTTTGCAAAAAGTAAGTAAAAAAATAGTTTTGTTTTCGTTGGGTTAAACCATGAGTTTAAATTTTCGTACGTTGGGTTTAGTTTTAATTTGGTTATGATTTAAAAGTCTCAATTTGATTGGTATGTGTTTTGAGTTTGGTTTCGCAATGAGATGAATCTTCTTCAACAATGATCCAAAAATAAAAATTTTGTTGGTTTAATATAACTTATTTTTAAGAATTATAGAAGTCATTATTCTCATTATAATTTTAGAATTTCCAACTTTAAAATAAATTAAAATTCGAAATTAACATTATACTCAAGTAACTCCTAAATTTTAGTTCTTTTGGTTCTCATTTTGAAGAATGAAGTGCAAAATAATAGCAAAATTTGAGGGCTAAAATGAAATTAAAACCTATTCTCGTTTCACTCCAAGAATCCATTAAAAATTTACCGCCAACTCTAACTCAGGTAAAAAAAACTTTCTACCCAAAAATAATTTGACGAAATTGTAGAATCATCCATTATTTTTAGTTAGGTTTAAGTACTATTTTAATTATTTTAGTTTGGTTCATTTTAATTTATATATTTTCAAAACATCTATTTTGTGGTATAATTTTAATCTTTGTTCATTTTAGTTCTTAAATTTTAAAAATTGTCAATTTTGATTCTTGTATTTTTAAAAAGTGACTATTTTGATTCAAATTTTAACACAAATCTTATTCACCATAAAATTCTTTTAATACAAATTTAGGTATACATTTAAAAATAAAATTTAGTAAGTAAAATGTCTTGTTAAAACCATGATTGAAAGAAATTAGATATAAACAAAAAAATAAATGATCCAATGATCAGACCAAAATAGTAGTTTAGAGAGTATAGAGACTAAATTGACCAAAAATTTAAATGATAGAAGTATAGAGATAAAAATAAACTAAATCCGAAAGAAAAAAGAAATAGTATTTGAACCTTTGTTAGGAAAAATAGCGAGAATATTTAATAAATTTGTTTGGGGAAGAGAATACCCTGGACACGTGGAGGACCCCTATTGGTGCTCCAAGATGACTCATGAGTCATGCCCAGCTCGGACGGCCGAGATCACCACCACTAGCGTTGACAGATGCTAAGTATGAGG